AGGGAAATGAAGGCTGGAGCGGGTGTCCTGGCCCAGCGCTGCCTGGCAGAGCGAGCCGTGTTTTCCCTGTTGTTCACCGAGGAGCCACGCCAGGAAAATGATTCACCCCTTTCCATCATGAACCTTGCAGAGCATCTCAAGTACCTCCTCGCTGCTGGTGCCCCCGGCAGCTGTAAGATGGAGAGAGTGGCAGTGGCCAGGGGAAGGACCACAGGTTCCAGCGTGCAATTCTCCGCCGCGCTCCGGCTAACCGGGATGTGCACTCCCATGGCAAGGAAAGCAGAGGAGAGCTCAGGCTGCATTGCAGGGCTCCATAGGCTGGCGTGTGTGAAACCAGGACTATTCCCACCCCTTTGTGTCTCGAGGCCTTAATGAGAGCAAGAATTCTCCTGGAGGGTCGCTGAAGAAGCTGCCGGGTGCAGTGGGGCTTTGTGCTGTGCGGAGCTGCTGCTCCACGCACGCGGCGCCTTTGTTCCTGCCTCGGATGCACCGGAGCAGAGCTCATCTTGTTAGTGATGGTTTGGCTTCCCCCCAGGACGTTTTCCTTCTGCTCTTTCCATTCCCCTGCCTTCGGGTCACGCCACTTGGGTTCAAGCCAGTGCAGCTTATTGGGAAGGGGTGCAGCAATTGAGGGGCTTGGGATGGCCCTTCTCCATGTTTTTTTCTCCTGTGGTGATGGAATCAGGATGAGCAAAGGGTCCCAAATGCTGCGTTGGTACCAGTGATGCTGGGTGAGCCTGCATGGCCCCAGCATCCTGCTGCAGGCTTTACCTAAATTGGGAAAGAAAAAAGTGTAACAGATTGGTGTGGGGGGGAAAAATATAGCAGGATTTTTTTTTTTTTCTCAGATGTCAGAGAAGGTGGGTTTGTGTCTCTGCTGGCTCCGAGCTGGCTCGTCCCCTCCTTTGCTCTTTTGCTGTGGGCTGTGGAGCGGGAGGCTGGCAGCCCTGCTGCTATTCCTGGTGGTGACAAGCTGGTGATGGGAGACGAGGGATGGTGAAAACAAAGTGTAGGGAACATTCATTAGCAATTATCCCTGCTTGCAGCTTGAGCTGTGTGGCTGTTGGGTACATCTGATAGCCACTTAATACATGTTCAAAGCACTGGCTCTGGCATGAGGGTGAGTCTGGTGGCTGGTTTTTGGAGGAGCCCAGCGCTCAGCTCCCTTTTCCAGCTTCATTTAACCTTGAGCTCTTCCTGCAGGTGTTAAACTGCCTTGAGATCTGCTTTTCTCTTCCCTCCCATCTAATCTCCTCACAGCTGGGGTCTTCCAGACCTGTTAGCAGCAAAGTGAAGCCCAGCTGGAGAGGTGGGATGAGCAGGGGGGGCAGTGGTTGTGTGCAGGCTGTGCGTAGAGCGCGTCTGTGGGGTGTTGGTGTGAAGCAGTGGGAGGAGCAGCTCTTGGTGAGCCACATCAGCTGTTTGCAGCCCACAGAGACCACTGGCCTCCCACCTGCCTTGCTGCCTGCTGACTACAAGGTGGCAGAAGGTGTGAAAGGGGGCTGAATCTTTTTTTTCACACTGTACTTGCATTGCATAACCTCTCTCTATCGAACTTCTCTGGTCATCTGCAGGATTGGAGAAGGGTAGGTTTGGCTCCTTTTTGAGGGACGATCTGGTCTCTGGACTGTGTTTTTTGTATCCACCTTCTAAATGCCAAGTTGCTTCCAGGTAGAGGCAGTGTAAAGCCTGGAGTACCAGCACCTATCTTATTAACACCCCAATATGAGAGAGATGAGTGCTGTTGAATTTAGGAAGGGACATCCCCCATCAGACTCCTGGCTGGGTTTGATTCTTGGTCTCTGGAAGAGAGGGAGCATGGTTCCCTCTGAACTGACCTTTTATTTGAAAAATTGCTCTTGGAGATTGTCTTTAGGGATCACAGAATCCCAGACTGGTTGGGGTTGGGAGTAACCTTAAAGTTCATTTCATCCTGTGCCATGGGGTGAAACACTCCTTCCACTAGACACAGTTGCCCCAAGGCCTGTCCAACCTGAACAATATGACAGGATATGCTCTGTCCTCTCCCTCTGCCACACCCGCTCTGGGTTTTGGGCTTTTGTTCCAAGCTCAGGTTTACTGAAGAGACAATGGGCTACCTGTGGGGTGGAGTAGTTGGGAATAAATTTTTTCTCTGTCTCCTAAATTTCTGGCTTTTCAGACAGTAGAGTAATACGACTGACCTTTCACAGCAGAAAGAGTGAAAAATTAGGTTTTGGTACTTAAATTTGGGCAGCTTTGAACAATGTAACAGAAATAGACCTGTTTGGTGTCTTGATGGCAGCATGTCCTCTGAGAGTGGAGCTTCCTAAATTTCTGTGGGATGAATAAATGGAATGTAGTCGTGGAAGGGACTGGGGCAAGAGGGGAGCTGGGCTGTTGGCTTGGCTCAGCATCTTGTGGGAGCTCAGCCTCATCTTCCTCACCTGACTCTGGGCAGGGAAAAGGGTTATGACTCTTTCTTGGCTCCAGCCCACAGGAATATTCTGGATTTTTGTTCACCAAGATGAGATAAGAGGTTTCTGGGGTAGGTACAATGGGAAGCCATAAATGCAGTGGCTGGATGAGGGGCTCCTTCCCTGCCTCCTGAAGTGAGATGCCAGAGGAAGGACCAAAGCTTTTTGAAATGAAGGACACAAAAGGATTTGGCTCACACATGCACCCTGGGAGCAAAGATGAAAGGCTGTGGTGTACAAGCAGGAATTCAAGTCACAGTTGTGGCATCCACCTTGGCCTTGAAATTGGATTGAGTGGAAGCTGTTGGAGCTGAAGGCTTGATCCTGGCTTTGAATGAAAGCTGCTAGTGGAGAAACCAGACCTGGGAGATGTTCCTGGGTTGGGGCTGTAAGAGGTGTGAGGGGGAACATGGTGGTGCCTAGGTCCACCTGGGAGATGTGGCTGAGGGGATTTGGGAAGCAGCTGTATTCCAGCAGCAGGACCTTTGCAACACACCCGTCCTGGCTGCCCCACCTGGCTGAAGAACCCATGGGCTGAACCAGGTGTAGTGGAGCAGGAAGGATCACCTCTGCAGCCAGGTTTGGGTAGCCTTTGGTCCTCCAGCCTTGAAGGACCTTGCTCCTTTGGCTTGTCCTCAGGTCCCCCAGCCACGGAGGTGCCACTGGTCACCCGGTTGATGCGGAGAGCGACAGAGCAGTGCCAGCATTTCACACTCTCCAGGCATTGACCGGGGTTGTTCACACTGGCTCTTCCTAACTTCCAAGATCCTTCCCTGCAGATGGGAAATGAAAATCCTTGGCATGGGCATGGAGCAGTGGAAGCAAGTCAAGTAAGGTGACTCAGCCAAAAAAGAACAGAGAGGAAGAAACCTGTCCAAGGCTGGGTTGGTGCAGCAGGGCATGGGCACATGGTGCGGATCAGGGCGGCTCCTCCTTCCCAGCACGGAGCTGCGTGGAGCAGCTGAGTGCTTGTACTTCTCTTTTACTCGGTGCACAGCTCTTACATGCTGTTGTAAAATGAGAGGGCTTGGAAACGTTTCCCCTGGTTGATCCAATCCCAGCATTGGGCTTCTGTAAATCTCCCTGAACTGCTGGCAATGCTGCCAAACCCTGCTGCAGTGTGGGGAGAGCAGGTCGCTCCCTGCTTCCCTTGCCGTGCCCAGCTGTTCCAGGGCAAATCCAAACTCATTTTGGCAGGTCGGTGAGAGCTTTTCAAACACTCAGCCTAGGAGTCATTTGTTAGTAACAAATGGGGGATTTGCCAGGACACGCAGCTCCATCTGGTCTGGCATCCTGTCCCCTCCAGCAGCCTTGATGGATCTGCTTGAGGAAGGCAGGGGAGCAGGAAAAAAAAGAAGGCATTTTTCCCATGGAAGGAAAACCACTTCCGCAGTCTGTTTGAGCAGGGTTTCCTGGGCTGGAGCATCCTCATGGCATGTGCTGGCCTCAGCGCCTGTCAGCACCAGCTCTGCAGCTCATGGACAATCTGAGGTGAGAGCTGAGACATGCATTTTTTATGACTGTTTTGCATTTCACCTCTGAATGCCAGGGAGACTGAGCTGCAGCCAGCTAGGATCTTGGTGTGCTTCTTGCATGGAGTGGGTTTTTTTCTCCTTTTTTCCCACATGGTTAATGAGAGAAACAATTTTAGAGGTCTTTTTCCAATGTAAATGCTTCTGTGATGCTATAATCTATTTATTCCCTTCCTATAAAATTCCTCTATGTCTTCAGTGTGTTAAAATCCCTCCACTGACTCTGTGAATGGAGCCAGCTCTGAGCTGGCCTCTCTGAGCTATCACCTTGGTATGTAGCAGGTGTGTTGCTCACCCTTTATATGCAAGTGAATATCCAGGAATGCATGTCCCACAGCAGGATTGTGCACACTCTCCAAATCTCAAATCCTTGTGTTTGGAATTGAGCTTTGTGGGGAACATTTGGGGATGTATCTGTAGCTGGGACAGCTGGTGGTGACCATCTTTCTGGTGGTTATTTCAGGCTGGGTTTGGCAGGTTGTTTTGGTTGTGGTGCTGGTGTGCTGTCCATGACCACTTATGGGTTAGTGTGAATATTCACATTCCCGGTCATCTGAATCCGGGGATGCATCAGGCTGAAAATCTGTCCCTTGTTTGTCCCTGTGAACAGGTGGGCTGGTGATGGTAGGGCCCAGAACACCTCCCTCTCGGCACCCCAGGGTTCTGATCAGCCTAAATCAAGTGTAAAAACCACAGGGGTAGCACAGATTGGTGCTAAAGGGGGCTGAAAGGGGTTTGGGAACACCCAGGGTGAGCGGATCCAAAGAAGCAGCGAGCTCCAGCAGAGGTGGGGTGAGAAGAACCTGAAAAAGGGTCTTGCAGAATAAGACCCAAACCTGGAATTTTTTTGGGTTTTTCCATTAGAAGTTCTTGAAGTGGTTTGGTCTGAGCTGCTACAGCCTCCATATAACCCATTTCTTGGCTAAGATCTCTCTGTTCTTGCCCACTGAGCTCTTTCTGTGCCCATGCAGCCGTCCTGACTCTGCTCTCTGTGTCTCTCCGTGTTTCACAGTATCCCGACCTGAGCCAGGAATCTGGGTCTCCATTTGTCTTTATCTGCACTAATCCCCAGGAGATGGTTCTGAAGTTTCCCATCAAAGGAAAACACAAAATCTGTAAGTAGTAAAGTTTCCCCAGGTGCCCCCCCAGCCCTCGGAGCCGGCTCCCCTTGCCACCCCAGCTTGCCGTTGCCAGATGAGTTCCCAGCCTTCACCGTCTGCTCTTTGATCTGGAGGTGTTTGTTTAATGGCTCGAATACATCTGCAATATTTTTTGTGTTCAGTTCCCCTTTCCCCAGATGTTGCTTCCTTCCAAATACACGCTTCTTCCTGCCTCTGCAAACACTCGGGGAGTCAAAGAGCAGTTGTGTCGGTGGCCGATCTGCTGCCAGCACTAGCCTGGGTCAGGATTGGAGTTGGTGCAGCAATGCCCAGGTAGATCCAGGCAACCTCCGTGTCCTGTAGTTCCAAATCACGCTCTTGCCCCTGAGGACAGCGAGGGCTCGAGCAGCAAGAGCTGCAGGGCCAGATGGATGCTCCCCATCTGCAGGCCGGTGGGATGGGATGTCCTGGCAGAGCGCACGGGGAAGTGCTGCAGCATCTGTCCGCGCTCCGCTTGCCAGTGTTGTTAGTCCCTTTTACGAGCCACCAGCCCCTCCACAGGCTGCCAGTTATTCCTGCCCGCTGCTATAAAAAGGATGGAGGAGGGAATGCGGCAGCTGGGGAGCCCGCAGTCAGCTCCGTCCTTATTAGCAGCCTCCCCACCACACAGCCTGGGGAAGGCACCGCACGCGCTTGCAGGGGATGTGAAAAATTAATTTGACGGGCTAAAAGCAGCAGAAGCAGGAAGAGTCTTGGCTGTTTATTTAGCAGAGCTGACAACTGGGTGATCTCCCTCCTTTCCACATGGATCCTTGGGCTAGTACCTGGGGCTCAGGAGTGCTGGGATTTCTCAGGACTGGTTAATAAGGGCTTTTTTGAAGCACAGCAGAGGGTTATTTTTATTGGTTTTGAGGGTCTTTTTCCCTGTCTGTTCGGGGAAGTACCTTTCTCCCACAGTTGGGTGTTGGGATGTCCTGCAAAACCCTTTGGTTTCTTCCTTGCCTTTCTGAGCAGCAAATGGAAGGTGTATTCAGCCAATGCCGACCAATGCTTGGAGTCCTGCAAGCACTCAAATCTCGCTTATGGTCCTCCCCCTAGATGGGTTATTCCGAGTGCAAGTGAGCAGGCAGGAGTAATTTAGGATGCAAATCTTGGCTGTGGGTTAGCCTTGTGGCCCTTGTGTGCTGGTGCAGCCACTGCATCCATTTTTTCTCTTGTTTTAACCTCTCCTTTGCTCTCGCCAGGCTCTTGTGCTCCTTCACTCCCACCTCTGCCTCTGTCTGGCCGTGGCTGGGAGAGGGCGAAGCTGCTCTGCAGCTCCTGCGCGTCTGCCTTGCCGGGTGCAGGTGCTGCCAGTCCCCTCCCCATCTGTCACATCATCTCCTTTGTGTTGTGACACTTCCCTGCTTGGAGAAGGATCAGTCTAACAGCCTGGAAGGAAGCCGGCTGTGCTGGCGGCTGCCTGTGCTCCCACTCGTGCTGCTGGCCCTGCCTTCCCTGCCCTCCATCCCAATAGGAGCCGTCACAGGAGCAGCACAGCAGGGCTGTGGAGCTGCGTGTTCACCTCCCGGAAGGGACATGGTCCGTCTGGGTGATGTTTATGACAGCCTAGGGAAGGAGCAGGGAAGCCTTTGACCTTTCATCGGCGCAAGGCGCTGTTTTAATAGAAGCTGGCATTGCAACCCAGGCAGTCAGAAGCTTAATTCTCCCAGCTGGAAGCTGAGCAGAGGGAAGGTGCCAGCTCACATCCCCACTTGGGCTTGCTGGCTGCCCTGGTCTCCTTGAAACCTGGCTCAAACCATGACAAAATGCCAGTTTGTCCTGTTGGGAAGCCAAGCCAGAGCAGTTTTCCTTGCCAGATAGCAGCATGGACCTCTCCACAGTGACATCCGGATGCTTCTCTGTTGCAAATTGTTTCTAGCAGCCTGGGGATGGGAAAAAAGCCCTAACATGGCTCAAGTTTTGCTGCCAGGGTAATTGTTTTTGTGGAAGGGGTGCACAGTGTTGCATCTGGGAGCGCAGTTCTCCCCAGATACGTCCCCATGTAGTTTTACTGCACGAGGACAAAGCTTGTTGGCCTTTCTCATGGGAAATTTCCTTGAATCCAGGCAAAGCTACCCTGAGGCATCGATTAGAAGCCTCCCTCCAACAGCCAGTGGCTGGAAGAGTGAAGAGGAGCAGAGGACATGGTGTGAGACAAGAGGCCTTGAATCATTGAGCAGAAAGAGCTAGGAACCCTGAGGCTTTGCCTTATTTTTAGCCTTTTCTTAAAGGTTACCTGTGTGGTGTTTGGTGTTTGTGAGCTGGAAGAGCAGACTAACCTCCCAGTGTTTTTGGGGTCCAAGAGAAGCAGGCAGGCACATGAAATATAACAGCCCTGGTGACAGTAGGTGGTGTTGGGGGACCAGAGTATGGAGAGAATGTGAACTTGCTGCCTTTCTCCTGCCAAAACCACCCCTGGCAGGGGTACAGGGTGGTTTGACACACTGCTGGGCTGGCTCAGCCTGCTTAGTGCCAATGACTGAAAACAGCAATTGCAAGGAGGGTCCTTCTTCCCCGTCCTTAGGCAGTGGGGGGAAAGTCTTCTCTGGGTGGCCAAGGAGATGGAGGATCTCCCAGAAAATCTTCCAAGCCATGTTTCAGTTTGTGGATCTGTTTCAGTTTGGTGATCTGCAAACTGTCTTTGTTGAATGGGAATTGAGAAGTTTTCTTGGTTTGAAGAGAAGGTGATGATCACTGGCTGGTTAGGAGCCATTTTCTCTGGAGAAGCACCTGCTTCTTATGGCACATGGACATTTACCAGCAGATTTTGGAGCAGTGGCCGAAGTAGAACTTTGGAGCCTGGTGTATGTATCTTGCCCTATCTCTGTTTCCAGCTACAGAGACAGGATGAGGCTGGCATTTGGAGGATGGGAAGATGCAGGGAAGCAGCAGGAAGGCAAGTCCTGGGGAGACGTGGCATTTGAGGAGAGGAGGTGACAAGTGTTGGTTGCTGGCAGAGCCTCTCTGGGAAGTTGGCTCTGGGAGCTGGGAGAGCAGGAGCATCCTTGCATTTTTACAGACAGGAAGAAAAGGACAAGGACACTCCTCTGAGGAAGCACATCACTATGCTTGGCTTCTGGCTTCTTCAGCAGGAGTTGCTGAAAATCCCATGTTCTGGTGTCCTGCTTCTCTCCTAGGTGGGAAAGTAGAGCTTGCAGTGAAGCCCCCAAGGGCTATGAAGGACAAGGAAAAGGCAGTGTTTTCTCCAGGTCCCACTGGAGCTGCTGGCTGAAGTTTTCCTTGGTGGCAAAGGCAGCACATGGCCTTGGAGACCAGCAGCCTGACACATAGCAGCATGGAGCAGGTGTCCCCATCACACTGGGTACCCATTGCACCATCATCCCAAGCTGAGGGTTTGTTATCCCCAGTCCTGCCTCTTGCCACACCGTGGAGAAACATGTCCCTGGCATGCTGCTGGACGGTTCCCCATCTCCTCTGAGCATCCTGTGGGCAGGCACAGGGATCGGTTTCCCCCCTGGTAGTGGCAGGCGAGTGCTGGATGTTAATTTACTCCTCTCCTCGCTGGATTTCTCCCTCTCCGGCGTCTCTTGGCCCGTCGGACACGCTTGCCCCTGGCTCCCCGGTGTCGCGCCTGCAGAGGGAGGCCGCGGCGGCTGGAAACGCCTGGCTCCTCAAGCAGGATAATTGGATGTGACAGGAACACACTAACTAGGAGACCTCGCTGCCTCCAGCTCATTTGCATTGCAAATAGCATTTAAAAATAAAGAGTGATGAGGGTTTGTTGTGTTTTTCTTTTTTCTTTAATCCCCTCTTTACAGGGAAGCTGGATGCAAAGATCCATCAGGGAGCGAAGAAGGGGTTAATGAAGCAGAAAGCCGTGGGGTGAGTGCTGGGGAGCAGCACTGGTTCCCATGAAGCACCCAACTGCCTCTGAAGGGAGCCAGGATGGTCTTCAGCTCTGGAAAGCAGGTGCAAGATGGATCCCTGATCTCAGATTGTGTTTAGCTATTGCCTTCTCTCTTGTATTCCAAAAGTATTAAAAGAGACTTGTTTTCACCATGACCTGGCCCAACAGCCCTGTGCTTCCAGGGAGGTCTCGCGCTGCAGACAAGGGTGGGTGGGAGATGGAGCTTGGCAGAATGCAGTTCTGCAATCTCCAGCACCCGCAGGAGCAGTGGGTCCAGAATGGGCATGGGGAGCTTTCTGGTATCAGGCAGCCCAGCTGCATCCTGGTTTTGGCAGGATCTCCCTCTCCAAAAAATACTTTGAGGTGTTTTTGGCTGTATGGGGTCAAACACATGGAGAAGAATGGCAAGAAGCTGAGGGGATGAGGGGAAGGCTCCCAACAGCCACCGAGGCTGAGCTCTGCCAAGTGGGGATGGGAGGTTTGGGGTTAGAGGTGGGCTCTGTGCCAGCTCACAAGTGCTCTTCCAGCCCTTTGGAATCACTGCTGAGTGCCCAACCATACATCCTTCTCCTGATTTTACCAAAGTAGCAGCCACCCCTAACACCTTGCCCCCAGCAGCTATGTGTAGAACACCTTTGGAATAAGTTGAATTTTGCCTTTTTCTCTGCTCTCTCACACTCAGCCTCTCCCCACATTACCGTGTCCATGCCCATTATGCACGAGTGTTACTGGGCTGTGATCCCTTTGTGCTCCAGGCTCTGCCTTGCCGTGGTCTAAAAGCTCCTCCTCATTACCCTGAGCCTGCCCTGCTCTGGTGGGGATGCAGTGATCCCCCCAGCACTTCCAGCAGCCCTTTTCCTCCTCTTTCCCAGGAATGCAGTGGGAGCTGCCAGCTTGTCTGCTTGACACAGTCCCTGGATGTAGGTTGTCCCAGCCCTCTGTCCCATGGAGGAGGAGGAGGGTGCAAAACCTTTGTGCTGCAGCACTGGAAATTGTCCCATGCCATTTGCCTTGGGATTTGTCTTCTGGCTCCATTTGCTACCTGTGGGATCTCTGAGGTGCTGGAAATAATGGGGTTGGATCCAATGCCCACCCACATTATTTCTCACTGGGAAAACCCTCACGGGTGCTTCAGCTCTGAGCTGCCCGCGATTGGCACGGAGTTTATGGTGTGGGAGCTGTTGTTCAATGTGGCCAAGGGGTGATGGGATTCTCCTGCTTCCTTCCTCCTCTGGCTGCATCCCCCTCCCCCTGTCCCTTGTGTCCCACCACTGTGGTCCAGTCAGCTGTGCTGGGATTCCTGGAGACTTCCCTGCTCTCTTCTTACATGGAGATCCTACTGTCCTGGTGGACGTCCCTTGAGAGTGATGGAGAATATCTGTGGTGCCAACAGGAGCAGAGCTGGAGAGGGATGGAGGGCTTGGGGAGTCATCCAGGGGTCCTGGTGCCTTGGGAAGCAGGAGGCAGGAGAGGCCTTCCTCATGGGCTGTGTGGGAGAGGTCAGCACTCAGGGAGGAGGTGCCAGGCTGGCCCCAGGTGGTGCAGCTCCTGCTTCTGTCCCACGAGTGCAGCACCATCAGACAAGACCTTGTCGGAGTGGGATCTTGTACCAACTCTGTGATCCCACAAAATTCCACCTTCCCATTACACCTAGTGCCTGTTAAAATCCCCATCCCAAGAGACTGCTTCCCCAGATGGATCACCCATCCCATGCCTGAGTCAGGCCTTAATATGAGCCCATGATTTGGCTCCATATTAAACCAGATCCATCTCCTGCATCCACTTCTGACAGTGGCTGCTGCCTTGTCACCTCCTTGTCCTTTGTCACTCACAGCTCATGGCTACCTGGTGCCTGCAGGTTTCCTCCCTAAGGGTTTCACGTCCACCGTTGTCTGTAGGATTCTGTGGGATCTCCTGCAGCTGCAGGCAGGCTGGATCACAGGCCCTGCTCGTGGTGATGGCAAAACGTCCTTGGAGCGATGCTGAAATCTTTCCTAATTGAACTGCCTTGCCTGGCAGGGGTTTTATTTTCCTCCTGTGTTAGTGGCATCACAGTTTTGCCAGGAAGGATGCACTGACCCATCCCTGGTTCATCCCATGTTCCTGTCTGACGCTGGTTTTTCCACCCTTGGAAGCACCATTCCTGATCTGAGATTTGCTGAACATCGACACCAAATGCCCATAAAACCTTTTACCCAATCCTTGAAAATACTTCAGTAAAAACTGACCTGCTTTTGTTAATACAGGTTCTCTTGGAGCCTGCTAACATTGGCTCTGTGCTGTGTGAGAGCAGTTTCTCCACATCATGGTAAGGAAGGATTTCTCCTTTCTCTCTTTTGGACTGTAAGAATTCTCATGCCTCTTTCCCTGTTGATTTAAACATCTTCTGGCTCCCTCCCACTTTCCCTAGCCCCAGAAGCTGGTGAGGCACCCAAACCTCTGGCCTTCTTGGCATCACCTCCCTTGCCAGGGGTTTGGGTCTTGTGTTGTCCTTGTTTGGGGCAAAAAGCACCAGAAGAAATCTCCTTTGGTGATCTCCTGAAACCACACAGGATGGTGGCACACGCAAGGAATGGTGGCACCTCCGGGCTGGACTATTTACAGCAGACCCTGGCTGGGTGGATGGAGTTGGTGCTGAGCTCTCCCTCTGCAGATTCGTGGGTGTTCCTGCTCCATGCTCAGCACTGACGGATCCCAGCTGCGATCCTGCATCCCCCATTGGCACAGCTTGCTGCACTGGTTCACCTTCCTGGTTTTGGGGTGTCATGGAGACAGGACTGGCACATCCCCACTGAGCTGAACCGAAATTTCCTCACCGAACAGTGGGGCTGATGCTGAGGCTTTGGGAAAAGGAGCAGAAGTTTTGGATTGTCTGGGGTCTAGGGTTGAGATGAGATGGAATTTCGTCCCTGGTCAGCAGGGTCTGTGCTGAGGCTTTAGGTGGGAAGTAGAGAGTTTAGGGGACATGTCACCTCCAGTGCATGAGAACGGCTGGGGACCCAGGTGCTCTTTCCGTCCAGAAGATTGTTTGGAAAGGAGAAGTGGCAGCGTGGGGCACAGTGTGATGGATTTTGAGGTAGGTGGGGATGACTCCCGCCCCCTGCCTTTCTGAGCTGGCTCTGGGAGCTAAAAGCGTCGCCTTGGGCGGGCCGTGCTGGGCTGAGGTGTCACAAGACACCGCTCAGATCGTGAAACACCCCCGAAAGATTCCCCCCGCCATTTCCGAGGAGGCATGACGGCGGCTCCGGCTCCTAAGGCAGGCAACGCTCCGCTCCGGGCTTTGTCTGTCTCCGACTCCCCATGCTTCATGCGGGGTACCCGCTCCGTGTTTTCCCGCCGCCCGGGGACGCCGCTCCACGTTCCGCCCTCCGCGTTTTGCGCCGCGTCCGCCCCGCCCCGCCCGGCGGACCCGGCGCGGCCTGCGCGGCGCGGCCTCAGCGCGTGGCGGCCCCGGCCGGCCCGGCCCGGCCCCGGCCCCGGCCCGCAGCGCCGGCCCCGGCGCGACCCACATGGAGCGCACCTAGGGCGGATGCCCCAGCGACCGGGTGAGTGCGCGCCCGGCCGGGCCCGCGCCACGCCGCCCCGCCGCGGCGGGGGGGGTGTGTGTGGGGGGGTGGCGGTTGGGGCTCCCCTCGGGCCTCGGGCACCCCCCCCCCCCCCCCCCCCCCCCCCCCCCTCCGTTTCCCTTACGGACGGGGATCCGAGTACCCCTCCCCCGGGAACACTGGGAACGGGAGTTTCAGTGCCACCCCCCCGCCTTGTGCCCCCTGGGAATGGGGCTGTGCGCCCCCCCGGTCCCTTGGGGAGTCTGTGTGCCCCTCCACTCTGCGACCACTGGGGACGAGGATATGTGCCTCCCCCTCCCTCATCTCTGGCCGTGGGGATGGAGCTCGGGGAGCCTCCCCCGGAGCGCTGGGGACGCGGGTGTGAGCCCTGCCCCCCCTCCCCGGGCCCGGGGCGGTTGCGGGTCCCTCCCGCGGCCGTTGGGACGGAGCCCCGCGGGTGTTGCGGCCGTTGGGGTCGGGTCCGCCCGAGCGCTGCGGGGCCCGCCTTGGCCGTCGCGGGGCTCCCCACGGCTGGGAGGGGATGGCCCCTGCGTGGGGTCACCGTCATGCCAGGTTGTGTGGGAAGGATGGGGGCTGTGGGGGTGATGCGGGCGGGGAGGGGGTTCTCGAGGGGATAGCAGTGTTCCTGGGCGGAGGCGGGAGCCACCCCTCTTGACCCCCGTCTCTGTGCAAGGAGGGTTTAGGGGGCACAAGAGCAGAGGGACAGCGCGAGCGGAGGTTCCCTGGACCTCAGCTCTTTTGTAGTGCCGGTAGGGGGTTCTCCGCACAAATCCCGGAAGATTGAATGTTCCCCGACGCGTTTAGCGAGTCCCCGTGAGTTTGGGGCGGGCCAGACCCCGAGAGCGGAGCACCTCCGGGCATCACCCCGGGGCCGGGCCGTGTGCCGGCGGCCGTGTGCCGCAGTACGAGCCACCCTCCTTCAAGTCCTTCGAGCCCCCGTTGGCCAGCGGGGCCGATCTGGAGGTGACCCCGCCGGTGACAACGTGGCCGGGTGTCCCGCGAGGGCTGGGGCGGCCGGCGGGCCGAGCACTCCTGCCGTGCGCTCTCCCACCCGTTGTGTACACGGGGAAGGTCACAGGTTCAGGTCTGGTCTGCGAGACTTGGCTCCCCTCCATCTCCCAGCAGCCTTCCTTTTGCCTTCCCTTTCCTTTTTCCCCGCTTTCTGGGAGGGCCCTTTCCCTTAGAGGAGGCTTTAGAGACTCATTTTCCAAAGTGTGCACCGAATAGCCCCGTGGGTTCTTTCCCCCTCCTCCGGAATGTCCGAGGATGCCAGTGTTGGGGCTGGCTTTTGGGCTCCATCGTGTGCAGGCAGTTCCTCGCCTGGACATCCTCAGGAAAACCTATTTCCACGCTTTGTGTGATGACTCCAGCATCAGATTATGCCGCACATTTCTAGCTCTTTGTTGGCAGTACGCGACCGCACATGCACGGCACTCAGAAAATCCAGGCAGCTGATTTTATTGATTAGCTCTTGACCAAAAATAATTTATATTTTATGATTTTGAAGCTGTTTCAGTCGCAAAACACAAATCCTTGCCTTTTTACACCCTTGTTCATCCAGTGAGGTTTCCCCCTCTCCTGTGAGGAGG